CAGCAACAGCAACAGCAACAGCAACAGCAACAACAACCGCAACCACTATCGTTGCAACAACAAAACTTAAATACGGTACCAAGACTGTACAAGCAAAACAGCGCGGGGGCAGCGAATGATTTGGAACGTATCGAGGAGGTACCATCTACTCCACCTACTTCTCTTCTTCGACGCTACAGACAAGCCGCGTCCGTTTCTCTTTCGGTAGAATCTTTGACGCTCCGTTGACGGATATTCCAGTAGTATTTCTAGTTTCGGTGTCGAACTTGCGATTAAAGATAATTTACGAAATACGATGTGACAATCGTCGCGTGTTTGCGGGGTTTCGGATACCTTGTACGCGTACGTACCTACGTACCAGACGTACCAGATAAATTAAATTTCTACGACGATAACGAAAGAGCAGTCGTGCGAATTGAAAACGTTGCTCGTCCAGTTGTCGTAGTTGTTTCCTACAATTTTACGATATTATGGCCGATGGATAACGATCGGTTGATCGTTAACCTCCGATGGCAAACATCGTCGCGAAACATGGCGAAAAGTTCGTATAGATAGTATGTGTATCCATTATCGCGTATGACAATCTCTGTTACGTAGACACGCACGCGTATGTAGAATCGATCTTCTTCCTGTTTTTCCCAACTGCGTTCCTTCGGCGATGAAATTCGTATTTCTTCGTTTGTACTTCTTCGATGACGTGTCGCGAATTGCGTCGATGGCGTGTACGATGAAACGTACGCAAAAAGTGGATAGGTGGTAGATTGATTGCCGAATTGATTCTACGCAAGAGTTCGCGTCAAAGATGTCGATTTACGTTACGATACGTTGTGTATCGTACGATACATGTGTGATGTATTCTGTATATTATACGCGCTACCTATACGCGTTCTTTGATTCGTAATTCTCAATTTGTTCTCAATTTCAATTTCTCAATTTATTCTCCAATTTGTAAACGATTGAATCTTGCGCCACGAGCGCGAGTGAGCTGTACGCTTGTCAGGCATAAGTGTTGTACACGTGTGTGTGCGTGTGCGTGAGTTTGCAGAACAGATACCGGTACTTGTACGCTTGTTCCTTATTTACGCGTCGAGCGGCAGAGAATCGTCGATAGTACGACGTCACTTGTCGAACAGGGTTGTCTTCGTCACGGGTTGAAAAATATTCGAGACGCACGGGTGCGGATGTAGGTACTTGTACTTGAAGAAATACGTATGCGTGTACGGAAACGTTCTTGTTTCGTACTCGGACGAAACAACGGCGACGTACTCCGACGTGTACAGAGTGTGTCAAATGTTGCGAAAGAAGCCGCAACGTCTCGTTTTTTCCTTCGCTTGGAATGGCTCGTTGTTCCAACGTAGAAACGTTACGATCGTTGACGACGTTTCGTCGAAAAATTGTATCGTTGTAGATAACGTAGACGACGACTGTGACGAAAGATGAGTGACAAAATTGTTACAACAAAATTCTGCTGCCGATAACGATGACTGTCCGGAAACAGATACTTGTATATCCGTGTACCTGTTACGCTTACGTCGCTGGATTAACCGAGATTACGGAAACGTGAAGATTGTCTTTGAAAGACGTTTGTCGTTTCTAC